ATTGCTGAAGATCATTTGGCTGTTTTCTCTGAGAATGTCAATGGATTTGAAGAAGTCATGGTAAGAATAGTTTTTGTCTAGTAAAGTTGAAGTTTGATTTTCCATTTTACCTTATAATGACATGTTAGCAATATATTTACCAACTTACATGTTAATTTTTTTTTGTTGGGTAACACATGTTAAGTATATAGTTAGCTCATCCCCCCCCCCCAAAAAAATAGCAAATATTATGTTTTATCTACATTGCTAATTATTTTGATTGTTTCTTGAGTTTTATCTACATTACTAAATATTTTTTTTTCTTTTGTCTAGTCAAGTTGAATTTTGTTTTCTCTTTTTACTTTTTGACTACATGTTACCATAAATATTTACCAACTATATGCTAAGTATATATAGTCAGCCTATGCCAAAAAAAATTGCATGTTATTATGCTTATCTACACTGCTAATTATTTTGATTACATGTTATTATTCTATAACTGAATGCGGGTTCTACATATCTCAGAATACGTAATCTACAAATAACTCAAACCTCTACTATTAGTAGAATTTGCTTACAGTGGGACATTAGTAATTCTACTTTCTGTAGAAGGTAGCTTCTACAGATAAGATTAAACAAAAATCCGAAATTTTGGGAAAATATTTAGGAAAATATTCAAAAAAGATTTTTTAATAATTGCACTTACCTTAAACGTGGAAAACTGATTTCTCACGTCTCCAAAATCCCTTCTGTGTCGACTCCACTGTTTCTTCTTCATCCAACCTACTCTCCATTGTTTCTCTTTTGATTTTTCACAAATTTTACTGTGTGATGCATATCTATACCACTTGTGGTGTATGTGAGTTAAGTACTACAATGGGATGGGTGTTTTCGGCTGATGAAAAAGGGGGTAGGTTACAGTTATTGGAATCAAGTTCTACATTGGAGGACTTAAAGAGAATGGTGTTTGAGGATTTTGATATGGAAGAAGCCAAATTGGTCGATTTCAGTTGAGTTATTTACCTCCTGACTTGATCAATACATCAACTTGTCCACCAGTGATCATTGAAAATGATCGACAGCTTAAGAATTTTGTTGGTTTTGTTAAAAACAATGCCTCCACTCGATTGTGTGTGACAAATAAAGCCAAGAATGAAAATCCGAATGAAGCAAAGTTTGATCTTAACAAGTCGCCAAAAGAAGAGGATAACTCGTACAACAGAGAGGACAACTCAGCTGATATTTTTGCTGATACGCAGAGCAAAAAGAAGAAAGAAAAGATGAAACAACTAGACTCTGATGAGGATGCCAATGATGCTGTTACTATGATCTCTGAGAAAGAGAAGCAACACAAACAGGACAAGTATTCTTTGCTCGATGTTGTTAAGAAGGGACAACTATTTAAGGACAAAACTTTGCTGAAGGTGACCTTTGAGATATGTGCAATGAAGCATAGCTTTGAATATAAGGTAATAAAATCAGATAGAAAAGTTTGGTATGTTAGATGCGGAGATAATGGTTGCAATTGGTCTGTTCGAGCTGAGAGTTTGAAGGAATCTACATATTTTATCATCAACAAGTACGTTGGTGAACATACATGTGCACCTTCAAGCAAAACCAAAGGGGGTAAGACTGCTTCAGCAAAAACTATAGGCAGTCTGATTATGCATAAGTATGATGGCGTCAAGGAAGAGCCAAAGACAAATGATATCATAGAGATTATGCGTAATGATCATGGATGTGAGATCTCAAATTCTTTAGCATATGATGCACGTGAATATGCGGTTAATGCAGTTAGAGGTATCCCAGAGAGGAGTTATGGGAAAATACCAAATTACTTGCACATGCTGAGAGAGGTTAATCCATGTACACATTCAGCATACAAGATTGACAGCAATGGAAGATTTCGGTTCCTGTTTATTGCATTTGGGCAATCGATACGAGGATTTAACAGAGTCATGAGGCGTGTTATTGTGGTTGATGGAACTTTTTTGAAAAACAAATACAAAGGAGTTCTATTGGTTACAACTGCTGTAGACGAAAATTCTAATTTGTATCCTATAGCATTTGGAGTAGTTGACTCAGAGAATGATCATTCTTGGGAATGTTTTATGACACAACTAAAGGTTGTCATTTCTGATGATCATCATTTGGCTTTCATTTCGGATAAACATGGGTCCATTGTTAAGGCACTTGAGAAGGTGTATCCAAAGTCTATACATGGTATTTGTATTCATCATTTGTTGAATAATGTGGTAACTGGTTACCATGGCAAAGGACTTGTTGGGTTGGTTTCAAAAGCGTCCAAGGCTTATAGAGTTGTTGACTTTGAAAAGATATTTGCTGATGTGTGTAGTATCAGTCCAGCAATTGGTAATTACCTAATGGCTGCCGATGTGAAAAAATGGGCTCGATGTAAATTTCCTGGATACAGATATGACATAAGGAAAACCAACCCTGCTGAATCTATCAACTCCTCTGCGTTCTCCGAGAGAATATCCAGTAATTCCTTTGTTCGACAGTATTGGAGAAATGTTGACACAGTGGTTTTATAAGCGTAAGAAACTGATTTCAAAGCATAAACATGGTCTGACCAAATATTTTGAGAAAAAGATTGAGAGGAGAACAAGGAAAGGCCGAACATTTGCAGTTTACCCTGTCACCGAAGGTCGCTTGCTTGTTAGAGGTGATATATTCGACTGCTTAGTTAATTTGGATAGACGGAGTTGTTCATGCGGGAAGTACGACCTGATGAAGATCCCTTGTAGGCACGCAATTAAAGCTGGTTTTCATGTTTGCAGAGATCCACACACATTGACTGATTTGATGTACACGACATGAGCTTGGAGAGAAGCTTATCAGGAAAGCATAAATCCTATTGCTGTTCGTGAGGATGCTTGGTCCATTCCAGATGATGTTAAGAAAGTGAACGTGCTACCACCGGACACAAGAAAAGCAGCTGGAAGGACAAGGAAACGCAGATACGAAACCGTTGAAGATCAAATTCGGTCATCCCAAACATCACAAGAGAGGCAGCCTCAAAAGTGTAGTAGATGTGGTATAAGTGGGCACAACAGAGCAACTTGTAGAGTACCAATCTAGTCTTCCACAAATGGTAAGGGTGATCTTGTAAATGGCTCAATTTTAAATGTGTTTGATGCTTTTACTTTTTTTTTTATGTAACAGGATTCAAGCTCAAGTGTGCAACTGTTGGTATTCAAGGTCAAGGCTCGATTTTACATGTGTTTTTCGCTTTGTCATTACAACTCTGTTTCACATGCTTTTGGTTATAAATTGTTTGAAATTTGTTTTCATTGACATTTTCATACATTATGATCATGTTTTTCATTTGATTTGCAATGATGTTAATAGTTCTGTATGTTTGAAAGGAACTAAACCAAACATAACACAAAGAAGCACACAATCGACATATTGTTGTACTCATCATATTCAGCTTAAGAACAGAACCTGCAATTCTATATTAAACATTCTCAAAAAAGTTGGAAGAATTATCTGGGATCGGGATCAATCGATCCAAAATAGCGATCGACCGATCTATGATAGATCGATCGGTGAAGATCGACTTAACTGGACAAGGTCGATCAGTTTCTGCTCCGTGCTTTTTTTATGTTTTTGTTTAATCATCGAGATCGACTGTTGGGATCGACCGACTCTTTCTTGGATTGATCCATCCCGTCATTCGAAAGATGTACTCTAACTTACGAAGATCATTACTCAATTTGGGTGGGTTTATATGAATGTCCATAGACTAATGTTTGGGATCGGTCGATCTATAATAGAGATCGATCGATCTATGATAGATCGATCGGTGAAGATCGACTGAACTGGACAAGGTCGATCATTTTCTGCTCCGTGCTTTTTTATGTTTTCGTTTAATCATCGAGATCGACCGTTGGGATCGACCGACTCTTTCTGGGATTGATCGATCCCGTCATTCGAAAGATGTACTCTAACTTACGAAGATCATTACTCAATTTGGGTGGGTTTATATGGATGTCCATAGACTAATGAACTGGATATGTTTTCTTGTAGTTTAGGGTATGTTTAGGGTCTCATTTAGTTTTCTTGTAGTTTAGGGTATGTTTTCTCTTCGTTTAGAAATTTGTTCCTTAGAAATCATAATCATAAAAATCCACAAAACAATTACCTTACAATAAGCATACTTTCTAGTTTAGGCATTCTACAATCATAAAAGTCCTAATTAAAAACCATACAAACTAGAATGATGAACATAACTATTACATCACAAAATCTCCTCATAAGTCGAAGACAAACACTCAGGAACTTCATACTTTGACATCTTCTCGACCAATACCGGATCATTAGCTGCTTCCCAAAGATCCCATAAAACTTTAAGGCGTGCTTCTTTGATGTTATCATCATTCACAAACGACAATCCAATCCAAGAGCATGGCACTCAATGAACTTGAGTGCATAGACACCACAATCACAAGCACCTGCATTTAGACTCTCCATTGGGACATACGTAACCGTATACGGACTTACTGTGAAATCTTTCTGGTATATCGCTGGCTGAACTGCCTTCACAATACGTGGAAAAAGGTTCGTGAACCCATCCAACTCCCTATACCTTTTTACACCAGAGCAGTCAAACACATCAATGTGCCTGGTTTGGAAATATATGCACAAAGCGATCCAATGAATCCCACCGACATGAACATGGACATACAGCGGATCCACATCTACAATCCATATCTCGTGTGTTCTACCATTTGGTGGAAGGACCCCTTTGCCAAACTGCAGTAACAAATTATGAAGACTGTATGATCTTTTACCTCGTTTCCAACACTCGTACTCCTTTTTGATCATATTGCTGAAGACAACAGTCATGAAAGCCACACGATGAGGTTTCCATCGTCTCAGAGTTGTTCTCTCACAGAATACATACATTGTGGCATCAATTTCCTGCATAAATAACAAGTGTTAACAAACACAAGGTATATAAAAGACAAATGGAAGGTAATAGTCTATAGGTTTACCGAGTTAGCAAGACACTCGGTTTTAGTTATAAGACGAGCAGCCATTTCACTATCTAATTTTGCAGGTCCAATATGTAGCGGTCTGAAACCGAAACCAAAACAAAAAAAACAAGCTAAAATTTGTAGTATACATTTTGATTAAAATGAAACAATACGTGATACAAAAATGAGAATTTACTTACGTGGCAGAAGTTGACCAATTTCTTACTTTTTCCCAATCCTCTTCACGGATGTACACCAATGCGGCATCCGGTGATGCTTCTCTGGTTCGATGTATCTGCTCATCACGTAAGTTAAGTGTGGACGTCTTTCTTTATCTTGATTTCCTTGGTTTTTCGACTTTGACTTGAGAAAGATCAAAACCATGTACAAATGTATCTTGGGATAGGTTTTCCATATCTTGTGTACTCAATCCAAAATCATAATCATTAGTTTCTAAAGCAATCTTTTTCCCATCCTATTCATTAAAACAAAATAAAACATATAAGAAGCCATTCAATCTTAACACAAACAAATCATTATATTCATTAAGTTTTTATTTCACAGTCAAAGCAAATTACACATCCGATTTTACACACACTAGTTTCATAGCATATTACATATCTGATTTTACACACACTAGTTTCAAAGCATATTACATATCTGATATTACACACACTAGTTCCATAGCATATTACACATCTGATGTACACAAACTAGTTCAACCTAACTCCAAAAGACTAACTCCAAAAGCCTAACTCCAAAAGCCTAGCTCCAGCATCCTAACTCAAGCATCCTAGTTCCAGGTACATCAAGCTCTACACTTTCGCTTAGGTAGTACCTTTTTCTTTGCTGCAGCTTGATCGACTTTGCTCTTAGGTGGTTGATGGTCTTTGGTCTTAGATGTAGCTTCATCGGATTTGGTCTTAGCTGTAGCTTCAGAAGCTTTGATCTTAGCTGTAGCCTCGTTAGCTTTGTTCTTAGCTGTAGCTTCATCGTCTTTGCTCTTCTGTGGAGCTTGTTCAGCTTTGTTTTTAGATGAAGCTTGTTTAGCACTGAGCTGTGCAACCTCAGTCTCTACCATCTCCATCCTCTCTGAAAAATCAGTATCCATCCTGGCAAGTTGCGTACTAATTCTATCTCCCAAGGAAGTCGCAGCTGAGTTGACGAGAGTCTCAATGAAACGCTTAGTTTCCGGATCAAGACCCTTTTTTTCTGCAGATCGTTTACACAACAACTTCTTCTTTCTTGTCTCGGCTCCTTCATCATGAATTTTTCTCTTCCCTTTACTTGCACCATTAACTGAAGAACTCTCCCCCTCATGTGCAACATCAGCACCAACTGTCTGCTCATCAGCCTCATTATCAACATTATTTTTCTCAGCCTCTTCCATTCCAATCTCTTCAGATTCTAAAGCTTCCCATTCGGTGTTGCTCCAATCAAACTTTTCCTTGATCCTATCCAGAATAAGGTCCACTCGTTCATATCGCATCTCACGCGTTCTTGAATACTCATCAGACAGAAACACATCACTGCTACCACTGAATGAGATGACCGAGAACAACTGACCCTGCAAAACAATTATAACATCAACAGCTATTCAAAATATTTACAGAAATCATGAAGAAGACAAGAACAAATGTACATACCTCCTGAGGAAATAAGTTCTCAATCTGAATGATGTCTTCATAAGAAACCATTGCAGCTCCTTTCCAATTGGCACACCTTGGACCTATGAAGTTCTCACTGATTCTTGTGCCTAATATTTCTCCAAAATTAGGAACTGCTTCCATGATCCATATCTGAAAAGCGTAAGTGAAACCCTCTAAAATGTAGCTCTCCTTGTTACTCAGCTTCTTCCTAGTCTTGTCAATCGACTGCATCAAGAAGTCAAAGGAGTGAAGACCCCAATGAAAATTTTGAACCTTGTCCAGATCCATCACCAGCTTAATCTACAGATGAGGGATGTTCACCTTCTTATCTTTCCCCATCACCACACCCATGATCACACACAAGTATATCAGCCTCAACCTATCAACCTAGATGAGTTTTTCTGATCGACTTCAACGTAATCTTTCCACACTTCCCACCACTCCTTAGTATGTTACTCCAAAAAAAATCCGTCATATTTCCAATTAACTACATCGCTGCCACTGTCCTGTGAAACCTTGAGACCGGCCACAGAATGATACTCCTGAAGGGAAAACCGGAGAGGCCTCCTCGCAAAGGCAAACCACTTCTCAAGTCTCTTCGAGGTAATGATCTCTCTACACAAGAAGCTATGCACCAGTTTCCCAGAAAATTTGAGCCGATTTTCCTCAATAGCCATGATGTGTTTGAAAACAGGATCAGCCTTCACATCATCATATTCGGCAGACATAGCATTTTTCAGATCCTCGAGCAGTTCTATCCGGCAGCTATTGTTGATCTTCTTAACTTGAGGTTCGAGCCCCTCTCCATACAAACGTTTAGGTAGCTCTAATTCCATACCTACAAAAGACAAAACATAATTTTTGTATAATGAAATTTATTCAAATTAAAAAAATAACTCAAGAGTGAAACAAGACTGTAACAAAATCAGTAAACAACCTATATCACAAAACAAAATAAACAAGAACAAATATGATTCATGTTGATGCTCCCAAAATAAATCAAACAAATATTAATTGCTCCTAAAAAAATCAAACAAATATTGATCCTAGTCAAAGAAACTAACCTAAGAGTGAAACATAGACTAAGACAAACGAAACAAAGACAAAGACTAAGACAAGCGAAATCACTTCATCAACTAAACTGCAAAACAAACGATATTAATTCTACAATTTTAACTGTAAACAAACAAAACAGAGAATACGAGAAAGCCAACAATTTAAGAAATTCTAATGAAATCAAGTAGTCAAACGGTTCAGAGGAGAGTCCAAAATTCATCAATCCATAACAAACAAAATCTATTCAGAAATAAAAAACCATAATCATCTATCAAACTTAGTCAAATCAAGAACCCGATTCCTTGACTTGATTCACTTAATGGGTTCACGAATACGATAACAACACTATTATTCTTACCATAATTTGAACATGCAAAGAGGAACTCGAGGAACACAAAACATAGAAATAAAACCCTAATCATTTTAGAAGCATGCAAAGATATAAGGTTGTCTAGGATTATCAACCTGACGAGATAGCAGTAGAAAGGTTCTTCTTTTAAAGAAATTAGTTCCAAAGAACTGGAGTAGAGAAGCGGAGGTGGAGGAAAAAACCGGAGAACCAGAGGAGCGAGGCGGAGGCGGAGGCGGAGGCGGAGGCGGAGGCGGAGGCGGAGGCGGAGGAGAGAACGAGATGAGAGAACCGAAGGTGGAGGAGAGAAGCGGAGGAGGAAGAAACCACCGGAGAACCGCATGAGATAAGCAGAGACGCGGAGGAGAGAAGCAGAGATGCGGAGGAGAGAAGCGGAGAGGCGTAGAGAGCCGAGAGAACACTCGATTTCCCTAAAACTGATGATCTCTCCGTTGATTTCACCGGATAAGACACAATCACCTTCCCATCTCTTGTGTTCTTGTCGAGAGAGAGAGAGAGAGACAAAAGGGGAGAAATCGCTTTGTTAGGGTTACGGGAAGGATTTTGTTCCCTTTCCCTTATTTTTTTATCATTATTGTTTTTAATTGATTTCTTTATTTTATTAATATATAAGTTATGTTTAATTAGATTAAACTAAGGTTAGTTTTGAGATTATCGAAAAATTTATACTATAAGGACAAGATTGATGTTGATTTATACTAAGGGGACATGAGGCCTGTTTTTTGTTCTATATTAGCATAATTCCCATTGTTTTTTTTTCTATATTGTAGGAGACTCTCGACAAGGGAATTGTTTTCCCAAACCTACATTTTTGCTTGGCTTCCTCCTTTCCCATGTCTGAGGCGACGGAACTCTTGCCAGTGTTTTCTCTCTTACTTGTTGGTGATGTTGTCGAACTCTTTTTTGGATCTGAGAAACCAAATCCACGCCTCCCCTCGCCTCCACCTCTGATGCGCCCACGCTTCTCTGCAGCGGTGCTTCTCTTCAGCACAGAGGAAACACAAAAACAGTTCAACTTTGGAAGCAATTAACAGTTACTATAAAAGTTAGCCTAATGTGATGGTTAGTTGATGTGCAATTACAATGATTGTATATATAATTTGAATTGTTTCTTAGTTTATTGGCATGATAATAAACTGTTCTTTTGTATTGAATTCAAAGGTTGGGAGACATGATTGGAATGCAGCAACACCCATGGTGGGTGTTGAGTGGAGTCTACCATTAGTGATTGGGTCTTGTATTATACTATGGAAGCTTAGGATCTATTTTCTAAGTGTCTACGAATTTTTGTAAAATGGGTAACATAAAACTTAGCCAGGGTGTAATAAGTTTTTGGATGGTTAAAATTTTGTGTAACCGTTTATATAAACAATTAGCCGAATGTAAGGAAGAATTAAAGTTTAGTCGGGGATAGTAAATTTTTGGATGGATAAATTTTTAAAAAACTGTTTGTAGAAACAATTAGCGGTATGTAAGAAGTTAGCTTGTTTTATAATATGAAGTTATAATGTAAGAGCTTTTGCTTATATGCTTAGTACACATTAATAAGAATTTGATAAATAAACACATACGCATATATTTATCAGAAGCTGTGGAAAATGTTTATCATCATCTACCACAAATTTTATTTATAACTAGATTTTGACCCGCGCTTAAAAGCGCGGAAAATGTTTATGATTAAAAATTTATATAATTGGGTTTGGTCATAATTTAAATAATATTTTGATATAAAATCAGTGCACCAAAATTTGTGGTGATGATTATTTTTCATTTGTTTTTAGTTTCAGTTTTTATTTTTAGATTTTGGATTTTGTTTTTTAGTTTTTAAGTTTCTACATTTCATTTTCAGTTTTTGGTTTGGGTTTTTAACTTTTAAACCCGCTGAGTTAGTTTGAACAAATATTACCAACAAACAAATCTCAAATAATCGAACATCTAATTTAAAAATGAAAAGATAAAAAAAAATTTAAAAAAATTGAAATAGTTTATTTTTTAAATAAACAAAGCAAAAGAAAAATATAATATGTGTTTTCAACTTTTGGTTTTGGATTTTAGTTTTTAGATTTGGTTTTTGGTTTTGCTTTACATTTTTTTAATCAGTAAATTATTTAAGAAAAATAAAACAATAAATTATTTAAAAGTTACCATTGAAATTTATCAAAACAAAGTGATTGTTATTTAAAATAAAAAATATATTAACATGTTTTAAAGTACATGATGTAAATAAATGATTAATAATGGATAATTTTGTTTAGTTAAAAATATTAAATACCTTTTGGGTCTGAAAATAATAATTGATTTTTTGATCTTTTAAGGTGAAAAGTTTATTCAATGTTTTTGGAGTTTTTTTTCTTAATACTAAGCGCAAAAACCAAACTATATAATTTGTTGAAAAAATAAAAGTAAGCCCAAAACTATATTCCATAAATAACCACTGTTTTAATTTAAGTATAATTAGTAGATTTCCATATTTCCATATTTTGATGATATATATTCTTTTAGAACATTCCATATTTGTAGGAGAAAATATGTGTTTTTGGTATACACATAGATATTTGCCGTGTTTTGAAGGTAGTTTATATTAAGGTCGTCTTTTTACATTAATTTTGT